AAGGAAAGGAAAGGAAAGGAAAGGAAAGGAAAGGAAAGGAAAGGAAAGGAAAGGAAAGGAAAGGAAAGGAAAGGAAAGGAAAGAAAAGGAAAGAAAAGAAAAGAAAAGAACCAGGCATAGTGGTCTATGAACACCAGCACTTGAGAAGCAGAGGCCAGAGGCCAGAGCTACATAGTGAGATTCTATGTTGAAAACAACAAGAAAAAAAAAGAAAAGAAGGGGACAAGGTAGAAGGGGGTTGTGTTGGAAGAGTCTTGTCGGGGGAGGGGAGTAGAGAAGATCAAAACACACTGTGTACATGTATTAAGTTGTCAAAGAATACATTTAAAACATTAATTTAAAAAAAGAATTGCATGGTCAGGCTCTGTAACTGTCAGAGACAGAATGATGCTGATGAGAGTAGCTTCTGGGATGAGAACATCAACAGAAGGCATTAGAAGGCAGAACCAAGGCTAGCACGATGGCTCAGCAGGTAAAGGTGCTGTCTGCACATGCCTGAAACCCATATAAAGATGGAAAGAGAACTGGCTCCACAGAGGTGTCCTCTGAGCTCCACATGTGGATGATAGCTTGTACACCACACACACCAGACACACATACACAACATTGATAATTCTTTTAAAAGAAGAAATAATCAATACAGTATGGTGTGGTTAAGAGATTCATACAGCGCTCAGGAGGCAGGGGCAGGTGGATCTCTGTAAGTTTGAGCCCAGCCTGGTCTATAGAGTCCCAGGACAACCAGGTACATAGAGAAACCCTGTAGAGAAATTCTAATACAGAAACATGGCTGCTTTGACATGGGATCACATCCAAAGACCTTCTAGGTCTGTGTGATCCGGCTCAAGGGACCAAATGTCTCAGGAGACAATTTTTCAAAAAAAGCAAGTGGATAGATCCTGAGGACCAATACCCAAAGTTACCCTCTGGCCTCCACTTTCACACTTAAGCACATTTACACACACAAGAAATAAGTCTTAAGACTTCTTTCTTAAGTACTAGCGTACACTATCACTAAGTCTACCACGCCATACAGTGGAATGGGGCTTAGTCTACTTTGACTCTGATTGGGAAGGCTCTCTTGTGCTCATGTACTGAAGATGAGGCTGTGAGCTGAAGGTAACAGGGCGGCGTCTAATAGCAATGCCAAAAAATATAGCATGCACTTCAAAAAGGTGCTACCACGAAGAGAAATCCTGCGACTTGACCCTCACAGTCTCTTGCCTCTACGAAACACACTTTCCTTAGGCTAGCTTACACAAAGCAGAATTTTAGACAGGGATTTTTCTATTTTGGAAGACCCAGAGACAACTCCTTTTTGGTGTCTACCCTGGTTCTCCGTGTCTTCCCTGCTCTTTTTGGAGGCCCTCTTCCCATAACATGGAACTTGAACTTGGTTTTTCAACTTTGTACTCCAGAAACCTGCCCAATCAAGTCCCCCATTCGCCTGCCTCTCGCTTCCCCCTATTTCTTCCTCCCTCTCACATCCCACAACAAGCTGCGCCCATCTGCCTAGCACCATCACAAACATCCCGAGTTTAAAGAGCCAAACTGAATCCCAGGGCTGGAGAGAATATGGTTCTAAGTGCTTGCTGCCCTTCCTCAGAACCTGAGATGTTTTATTTACAAAACAAAACAAACAAACAAACAAACAAAAACATGGAATCATTCCTTTGGGTTATTTTTCTCTTTTGACTTAGTTTCCCTTTAAATAGCTCAAATTAAGAACTCCATATTAATATAACTGTCAGTTTTATCAAAAGGCCCTCTCTGAGCTCCTCCCCTGGCCACCCTGTCCTTCACCACAGCAACAAATCTAGGCCTACCAAGCTGCCTTCTCAACTATTTGAATTTCTGTCCAGTGTCAGTGTCCCCACACAGGCAGGGCCAATGTTTCCAGGCAGCCCAGGAGCACGCACCCAGAGACAGATGTGGTCACACCTTCTTAAAAGAAATCTCTACTGGTATCTTACTAAGCTCACACAGCCCCCTCAGCAGCAATGGCTCTTTGAACCCAAATGGCAGCTCCCCAACCCAGTTTCCTCTTTGGCTGTTCTCCCTCAGAACCATAAAAACCAGTAAGGGTCATATGCTGCTGTCTCCACACTAGGTTGAAAAAAACAAAGGAAGCGTCAATTGTAAGAAAGAAATGAATACAAGTCTTCCCAGAATATAGAAAAGGCTCAGCTGGGGCTAGCGGCTCATGCCTGTCACGGCAGCTAGGAGGCCACGACAAGGAGATTGTAAGTTTGAGGCCAGCCTGGTGCACCCATAGCAAGTGAGTTCCAGGCTGGCTCCTGCCAAGATCCTATTTCTTTGTTGGTAGGTGTTTGTTGGTTTGCTGATCCTGAGCTGGACTTGAATTCACTAGTAGCCCAAACTGGCTGCTAGTGCTGATCATCTAGCCTCAACAAGTGCTCCAACTGCCACCTGAGCCCTCTAGCACAGATGGCATCTCTACCTTCTAATAAAAGTCTTTGCTTTAACTCTTTAGAGGTTTAAAACTAGCTGGGTGGTGGTAGAGGTTTAAAACTAGCTTGGTGGTGGTGGCACAATCCTTTAATCCCAGAACTTGGAAGGTAGAGGCAGGTAGATCTCTGTGAGTTCAAGACCAGTCTAGTCTATGGAGTGAATTCAAGGACAGCCAACACTACATCAAGATACCCTATTGAAAAAAAAAAAATGTACTGAAATTTAAACAGGTAATAAAATCAATAGCACTTAAATTACAGAAAATACCAAAATGCCTGTAATGGAAATATACACATCCCAGAACACAATTCAGAATGTGCTTCCTAAGGACCCAATGAGTAGCATTTCAGGACCCCATAAACTTTTCAAGGTCAAGTTTACAAAATGGCTGAGCCAGGTCTGGCATTAAAGTAACATAAGACATTAAAAACAAAATTAAGGGAGTTGGAGAAATGGCTCTTGCAGAGGACTCAGGCTTGGTTCTCAGCACACACACGACATCTTGTAACCATCTGTAACTCTAGTTCCAGGGAATCTGACATCCTTCTATCCTCTACAGGCATGACACATATATGTGGTATAACTACACACACATACAGGCAAACCCTCATACACACAAAGTAAATAATAAGTGTTAAAGAAATAACAAAGGCGTGACCAGCCAGACCTGGTGATGCAGGCCGAAGTCCCAGCTACTCAGGAGTTTGAGAAAGGAGGTCCCCCGGCATCAAGACCTGCCTGAACTACAGAGTGAATTCAGAGCCAGCCTACGATGCAATTTTAGATGCCATCTCAAAACAAAAGTGAAGAGAACTAAAGACACAGCTCAGCGGAAGAGGGGACCTTGAGTTCAAAGCATGGTACTACCCAAAACCAAGCAGAATCCTCCCTCCTTTCCTCATACTCTTTCCCATCACTTCCTTCCTTTGTTTAAAGCCAATGTTTTGCTAAATGAAACTTCAAACGAGAGGGGAAAAAAATGGAGATAAAACGGAAGTGTGAATACTAAGTACGCCCCGGAGTTACTTGATTGGAGGGAGGGGAGTCAAGAAAGGGGCAGAAACTAAGACTCAACTGATCAGATTTAAACTTCAGTATTGTTTATAAAATGGAAGTGAATATTTTTCTTTTACTTTAAAAAAATTGTTACGTGTGTGTGTGTGTATGTGTATGTGTGTACATGTGGTGGGTGTTGGTCCTCTCCTCCCACCACATGGGTCATGGCGACTGAACTCAGGCTCGACAGCAAATCCCTGAGCCATCTAGAGCTAATAGTTCTAGTATTAACTTCAATGATTGAGGGGAAAAGAAACATATTGAGATGTTGAGAACCAATATTATCATATATACTTTGTTAAATTATATCAGTTTAATAAGGTATATAAAGAGGCGCTTGGAGAAGAGAAGAGGAAAAGCACAATTGTGGATGGGTGGGGGGAGGCCATGTGAATAACTTCATTCATTTGAAGATATCTCCTCATCAGACATCAGTCACTGGCCTAAGCGGTGAGGAAACGACGACTCCGGGTTTGTTGTCTTTGAGTAACCAATTCAGTGAACCGAGAGGTAAAATTAGCACTTCTGGGAAACTGAAGCAGGAGAATCCCAAGTTCCGGGCCAGCCTGACCCACACAGAGAGACTGTGTCTCAAACAATAAATCGGAACTCTAGTTGGCTTGATTAGTCAAAATATAATCCACTCATTCACAAACACACAACAGTAGAAGGAATGAAAAAGGAGTGCCCAAAAACAAAAAACAACCCCCCCCCCCCCCCCGAAACAGACACCTCTAGGAATCTGAACATTGAGAACAGGCTCCTTATTTGAGACGGCCGCTAGAACGTTGAGGTCGGGGGAGGGCAAAGAGTCCCTGACCTGACTTTTAAGGCCACTACAAACCATAAGAACCTGGATGGGGTGGGGAAGGCTCCGCAGACACCAATCCCACTCTTCCTTACTCTATCCCTCCAAGCCAGGCACTTGCACACCTGAGCTCTCCATCTCCCTGCTGCCTAAGAAAGAACTGGGTTGACCTCTGACCCTCAAATGGAAGTTACTCTGGGCAGCTGCCTGTGCTGCTCTAGCTCCTTCTGAGCAACCAGGTGCAAAAGGTCAAGAAACACGATCCTTAAGGAGTCCCCAGGATCCTTAAAACCTATGCACCAGGCGTGCGGCTGGGAGAGATAAGGAAGTGGGGTGACTCCGAGGGCTTGAGCGTTCCGCTCTTGACACGGTCACTGACCTTTCCAAAGGGGTTTCCCAGGGCCAGGGGCCAGAGAACCGATTGCGACGGCCCGGGCCCCGCACCCAACACCTCTCCCAGTCAGCCGGCTGCGCGCCGCGGAGCGCAGGGTAACCAAGGGCGACCAGGAGGCCGCCATCTTGAGCTCCGTACAGGGAGGAAAACTTTATTGAAAACCAGAAGACGCGACGGAGCAGCCAGGTGCCGTGGCGTTCCAGGAGGCCACGCCTGAGAACAAGGGAGCGTTAAAGAGAGGTGACCTCAAGCTTAGAAAGGCAGGAACGCCTGCCCTTCACGCCTTCCGGTGGGCCTTTGGGACTACATGTCCCAACAGGCAGAGCGCCTCGAGGGGGCGGAACACGACAGCCGCGGGTGCGCCACGCCCCCCTGCAAGCCCGCTGCGACCGATTCTCCGCCCCGCCACCACTGGAACCAGAGTTCTCAGGCTGGAGTTTCACTGTGCTTGTAGTAACAATTCCCGAACCTTCTATGAGTGCATAATATGTAGGTGGCCCAGCGGGTCCTTACCTCGTCCAATCCTGTGTAATATAGCCTCAGTTTTCTTTTCTTTCGCTGTTCAACATGTACCTGAACTGTAATTCTGCCACTTTCTGTTTGAGCTTTTGAATAATAGAAAATCATTTTCTGCATAGCACACACCCTTGTGCTTTTGAAGGAGCTTATAAGTGAGACAGGAAAGACAGTGGTCCCAACTAAAGGATGTGGTAGCGATTGTCCTCATTTGAGGCTGGCTACCGTTAGGCGAGCGAAATCAAGAAGGGAGAACGGTTGTGGAGAAGTAAGGAGATTTAACTTTTGAAACAGATTGTATTTTTGTCTGAGAGAGAGAGAGGAAGAGAGAGAGAGAGGAAGAGAGAGAGAGAGAGAGAGTGTGTGTGTGTGTGTGTGTGTTTATATTGAAAGTGATTTCTCTGGAGAGCAGAAGTAGCCACTGATCCCCTGTAGCTGGCTGGAGTTAAAGGCGGCTGTGAACCACCAGATACTGGGTATTAGGAACCAAACTCTTGTCAGCTGCAAAAGTTACTCATTCTTTTAACTGTTTACTTTTTACAAAAGATAAAGACCTTCGAAGAGGGTGTTGGCTGTTGCTCACCTGGTAAAGTGTTTGCCTAGCATGCATGAAGCCCAAGGTTCCACTGCTAGCACATGCTTGTAATCCTAACACTTGGAAAATGGAGACAGCAGGATTAGAAGTCCAGCTACATAGTTACATAGGCCAGGCTGGGCCACATAAGAACCTTAAAAGTAAATAAAAAAAAAAAAAAAAAAAAGAGTAAACCCTTCAACCACCGATCATGTCTGAAAGACCTGAACATTTAGCCAGGAATTATGGAAAACGAGAAACTCTGGTGTAGAGGAAGGAGAAAACAAAGTTTCAATTGTGTTGTGACCAGAAAAGAGGACACTGACAAGAATTTCAGGAAGCCAGACTATGGTCACCAGAAGAGGAATTCTAAAGAAACAGGAAAAGGAAGGTGTATTGTGGCAGAGTAACTTCAAGCCTCTGCTCTGCTGATTTGTCGAAGTCCATACCCTCCTGGCAGGAGAGAGGATAGTCTAAAGAGAGACACGTACGTCCCTTTCTTTGGCTATTAGACCATTGAGAAAATGGTCCCTAAGAGTTTGGAATGGTCCCAGTAATCTCAGGCTAGGAAAAGGAAAAATCCGAAGCCTGGTGCCAACCAGAAAAGGGAGAAACTTGTTTTCCAGGAAGAGATGTCACACAGTTCTGACAAGTGACCAGACCACCCTGTAGGACACACTGGAGCCAGGACAATGGTGGGTCAGTGATGGGCAGGCAGCTTAGTTGTCCATACCTCTTTCCTACAATTTAAAAGTCAGCCGCAGGTCAGGATCCCGAAGATGGATTCAGAAGGAGGAACTTCTGGGCCTCTTTGTTTCTCTTCCGAATGTGCCCGAGTTCCTTGCTTTTACTTTTACCTATTCACTCTTCCCTACCCCCCCTCCCCCCAACTTTTTTCTGAGACAAAGTTTCTCTATATAGCCCTGGCTATGCTGGGACTCCTTCTGTAGACCAGGCTGGTCTCTTAGATCATGCCTCTGCCTCCCCAGTAGTGGGATTAAAGGCATGCACATTCAGCACCTGGCTAATCATTCTAGTTTTTTAATCAGGCTCTCACTCTGTAGCCCAGCTTGGCCTCGAATTCCCGGTGATCCCTTTCCCTTGCCCTTTGAGTACCAGGATTGGAAGTGTCTTTTTTTGTCCCTTTAACTTGGCCTGTGAGGACTGGTGGCTGGTTCTAATTTATTAGGGCTACCAAGCTCTGAGCTGAACAACTGTTTCTGCTGATATGTAGTCAAACCACAGAGAAAGTTTTTCCTTTAGCATTACTAATTTGAGTGTGATACCTTTGTGGAATGACATCTATTTATCTATCAGTCAATCTATCGATCTATTTTAGTCCTGGGTAGTGAAAGACCTTTTTAAAAAATTAGGTTGTGAGCTGAAGAGATTGCTAAGCAGTTAAGAACACTGACTGCTGTCAGAGGACCTGGGTTCAATTCCCAGTACACACCCAGAGGCTCACAACCATCCATCTCCATCTAGGAGAGCCGATTTCCTCTTCCACCCTCCTAGGCACCAGGCACACATGTGATACACAGACATGCATGCTGGCAGAACACTCATACTCCTAAATAAAATTTATTAAAAAAGGTTGCTTCGGCCAGGCATCCAGGGACACCTTTTCAATCCTAGCATTTGGGAGGCAGTAGCAAGCAGGTCTCCGAGTTCAAGTCCAACCTGATCTGCAGAGCAAATTCCAGGACAGCCAGGCCTACACAGAGAAGCCCTGTTCTGGGAGGAAAATAGGTTTCTTCTCCTTTGACTGACATAGTTATCACAGTGACTCTCAGAGAGCAGTTAGGTACACTATGACTGTTTGGGAACAATTTCCTTGGCTAGTGAGATTATTCCTTATTGGAGATTCTTAATAATCACAGATGAGATTGATATTCACACATAATTTAGTGTCAAATAAAAAATGTAGTGCTTGTTTTTTTTAACTCTAGTTTATTTGGGGTTTAATTTAAATTTAATTACTTTGAATTTTTTTAAAGATTTACTTATTGTATGTACAGTGTTCTGCCTGCATATATGCCTGTACTCCAGAAGACAGCACCAGATTCATTATAGATGGTTATGAGCCACCATGTGGTTGCTGGGAATTGAACTCAGGAACTCTGGAAGAATAGTCACTGTTCTTAACCTCTGAGCCATCTCTCCAGCCCCTACTTTGAATTTTAAATTCAAGCAAAAAAAAAAAAATTAAAAAACAACAAAAGAGTTATCTTCCATGAACAACAGATCCCAGAATTCCAGGAAGTTTTCTGTCCTTGGTCAAGTTGGGCTTACAGGTTAGGGGCATTTTTGTATTATAATGTGGGTTTTATTGGGGTTCCTTAAATCCTCTCCCTTCCAACCCCCCAACTCTAGGTAGGAGAGAGAAGGTTAGTGCGAGAGAGGATGCAGACCCCTTTATTTCTCCCAACTGATTAGGGTGGATGGATTCTTTTAGGGATATAACAATTCTCCATCAATAGCAAAAGCAGCAAGCAGTCTCCTCCAAGGTGCCAAGTTGAAACGTTTCTCTCAGTCTGTCTCTCCCCAAACTGCCATTCGCCATAACCCACCACTGCATGCCATACTTTCTCTTTCTGGGATCTCATATTTATAGCCCCAGAGCCCTGAACCACGCCCCTCTCTGTGCTGGCCATTACCAGCTGTCAAAGACCACAGCCCTTGGGAGATGATTATCAGCTGTGGACAAACTAAAGCCCGAACTAAAATCCCATATTTTCGATTAAAACAAAAAATGTATTTACATAACATAACTGAGTTTCTAAGAAAACAAAACTTCCATTACACAAGAATATCTACCAGAATTTTTTGCATGGTTGGGCAAGCAGACAGAAGTAGCAAGCTGAACCTTACTTAGGTAAGCATAATATAATTTAGAAGAAAATAAGTCTGTCATATTTTTTTAAGCTAAGATTAAAAAAAAAAATACTATCCCGACAGCCTTTAATCCCAGCACTAGGGAGGCAGAAGCAGGCAGAGCTCTGAATTCAAGACTAGCCTGCAAAGTGAATAAACTGTAATTAAAAAAAAAAAAAAAAAAAAAAAGACTAGCCTGTTTTACATGGTAATGCCACCAGGAGAGAATAACCACTACAATTCTTTAGCCAAATTTGAAGCAACCTTTATTAAATACTGTCCAGGTTGATTGACACTGGCCAAATCCATACCCAGGATTCCCGGAGTATGGCTCTGAATTATATTAGTCAGAGGCTTACAAGAGCAAATCCCACAAGTCTATGCACTGCTTACCTTGATCCAATCACTGACAAGCATACATCCTGATGTACTTCCTGCCTACATATCTCCCATCTACGTGGGATCGAGCAGTTGGGGCAACCAAGCTTCTTTACAGAAGCAAAAAACAACAAAAAGTTAGCTTCCACGAACAGCAGTCCCCAGAATTCCAGGAAGTTTTCTGTCCTTGGGCAAGTGGGGCCTACAGGTTAGAGGCATTTTTATATTATAGAGTAAATTTGATTTAAAATTCAAAGTAATTAAATAGTAATTTATATACAGTAATACACAGTAATTTAAACTTAAAACCTTTAGCCATCACATACAGAGCCAGTTCCAGGACATCCAGGGCTACACAGAGAAACACTGTCTAAAAAAAAATAAAATAAAAATAAAGAGAAGGAAGGAAGAAAGAAAGAAAACTAAGAGGCTGGAGAGACATGGCTCAGGAGTTAAGAGCACTGGCTGCTTTTCCAGAAGACCAGATTCAATTCCCAGCTCCCACACAGTGGCTCACAACCATCTGTAACTCCAGTTTCAGGGGATCTGACACCCTCTTCTGGCCTCTTTGAGTACTGGGCAAGCATGACAGGCAACACATCCACACACATAAAGTAACTGTTGTAAGAAATTTAATGTCAGTCCTGCTATTGCTGAAACAACAAAAAGAAACCTAAAAGTTTTAAGCATTTTTCAGAACAATTATTACAAGTGAAACAGGAAATCATAAAGCATTGTCTTGCCTTTATTTCAAACTGGCCCCCAAAAGGACCTAGTGTTGTTTATTCATGCTGACTCAAGCCTCAGGGAAAGGATTCTGTGCCTTGGACTCCCTTTGTAAACTTTGTATACTCTCCAAACATTGTTAACTTTGTATTCTTTGTAAACCCT